GCCTCCGGCTGCTCTTTTTTCCGTTATTACTCTCGTTGCAGCGGGGAGGTGCGCCCTCCTTCCCCGCCACCCCCGGAGTCTCGCCGAGATGCGATCGGGCGAGGGGGTGTTCCCGTGTTTGGGTGTTTGTTTTTTTTTTTTTTTGAGGGGGGGGGAGGTGGGGGGACTGGCGTCGGTACGTGGAAAGCAGATTTTCACGGTGTTTTTGCCGTTCTGTCATATAATAGGCTGGTGCTAAATGCGTTCCCTGGGGGGAAGGGGGGGCGTGCGGTTAGCTGGAAGAGTTCTTATAATAGGTGCTCTGTGCATAAAGAGAGGGAGGAGACTCCAACATCAATCCGGAGAGCGTGGCAGCCTGAAAAAAGGGCTCGAGAAGGAGATAGGAAACTCGGCGACAAGGCTTGGGTGATGGATCTGAGCGAAGGAGTGTAGGAAGTCCGTGCCCTTGTGAATCTGCTGGATTCCTGCGTGGCAAAGCATGCCATGACAAAGGTTGGAGCAGGGATGGGAGCGGACGTGTCGGTGGAGTTGTGAGCAGGCTGAGGAGAGTTTGCGTTAATCGGCTCGGGAAATCGATAAACGATGGGCTTGCACTTACTGCCTTCATGTTCCTTTTGCAGCGAGGTTGAGCTCTGTGGGAGCGCAGACACAAGGGAGAGATGCCTGTGGTGTGGCCGACTCTTCTGGATCTCAGCAGAGATGAATGCAAGAGGATCCTTCGCAAACTGGGTACAGTAAGATACAATTTGTGGGTCTGTATGCTTGCCCTTTTTAAGATTTACCTGCCTGCTGCTTCCATGGAATACTTCTAACATGCGTACGGGCAACTTACAAGTCATTTCCTGCGTTTTGCACGTGTCATTGGCTTGACAGCCCTGGCTTAAAATGATGTTTGGCAGATGCTCTCTGCCTGAGAAAAATGGTGAGGGCAGAGTTGGTTTGGTTTGGTAGAATCTCTCATGGGTGTCCTGGTCCGTCTCTGCCTCCATGTTGCAGTGTTGCATTGCTGTTCTTTCTGTGACTATTAACATGCAACAGGAGACTCCATGAGAGGAGGGTCTTCGTTTGTCTTTCAGTTCTGTGTTAGGCATCTTTCTGTACCAAAAAAATCCTGGAACCCTGGTTTACTTGACACAGAGAGTCTGAGTTCAAGTAGTAGAGATACTACTGTAAAGACTCGAAACAGGAGGCAAAAAAAATTGCGATGGTTTGTGATTTGCAGTTACACAAATTACCAGGGAAGTGTGAAAACAATGTTCTCTTTTAACTGTCATAACAACAGGAGCTTTTTGCATTGTCTCAAATGTATTTCAATATCCGAGACCCCTGCGAAATAGATATATATTGGGAGATTTTTGTGTGCTCTGTCCTCCTAAATACATGTGTACAAGGAGACACGCTGTTTTGTTTTGGAAGGTAATAAAAGTATTCGCTCTTTCCTTGCATCTGCTTTTGGCTATTGGAGGAGAGAGAATCCTTTGTGAGACCATCGATCTGGTCTTGCACAGTTGTTTTTGAGTTCTTAGAGCTGCATTTCTTTTTATTTGGTTAGGGATTTTTTTCCAGTTAAATGATATGTAGTATGAAAAGAGGAAAAAACCCTAAGATTTCTTTTCAGACTTTCTTCTGAGGAGCATGATCTAAGAGATGATGTCAGGAAGAAAGTCGAGACTGCCTCTAACTTCCTGTGACAGTCGATTCACAGCTTTTCTTGTTCTCGTTTTACTTGAATGTTACAAGATGACGTGCTGTACTTAACAGTGCCAGGGTTCTCGTACGTTATGAAGCCATCTGCTTTATTTTCTGAGAGTTGAAGGTTTATTTTCCCTTGCTTTGCCCTTTTTCTTTCTTTTATTGGGCATCTGGGATTTGCGTTCTGTTGAAACAGTTGCGCAGGACATGGCAACTGAGCTGTGCATCCATTCAGGTGGCAGCCCTTGGTCTTAAGTGAGGCTCAAGAAGTACGAAAACTAGGAGAAAGTGCAGGATGCTGAAAGATTTGGACCGGATCTGTGCGACTAAATTTTGTTAACGTCGCTCTGCTGGCTAGGAGCGTGGAAAAAAAAAAAACAAACAACTTCCACCCCAGCTGATGGCGGTGCGCTGGCAGAACCTTGCTGGTGCAGCTGAGCCAAACAGAGCTGCAGCTACACCTCTTTCAATGACATAACCTAGGCTGACAGGAAAAAAAAAATAATAAAAAAATAGATTTTTTTTTTTTACTGGCATGAGCTGTGTCCCCACCAGGGGGCCCTGCCAGTGTGACTGAGGATCAGAGCCTGGAGCAGCCGCGTTTTTTCTAGGGTAGAGAAGCTACCTCCTCTGGACCCTTCCAGCAGCTCCATGTCCTCCTTGTGTTGGGGACTTGAAATAATGATACTTATTTGGGAAATCTATTTTTAACCATTTGATGTGCTCTGTGTTAGAAAGAGAGCACCCCAGTTAATAATTGGTACGTAGACGTAAGGGTTTGGAAGCTAGTTTATAGCTGTTATGTAATAGTCACTAACTTCTAAAAAGCCAGAATGTGCATTTTTAAAGCTCTAGTGTGGAGGATCTTTGTTAAAAATGCAGAAGGGGAAAAAAAATCTATCCTTGCTAAATAATTATATGTTTGTATCTGAGAATTACTTTATGTTGTTAACAGAGGAAAATAATTAGTGTCTTAAATATTATAACAAGATTGTCTAAATAAATGTTGGTATTTGTAATAATTCTGGCATTAATTAGCAAATGTTTTATAACTGAAGCTGTAAATGCCTCTGCAGGTCACTCAGCATCCCTGTGCAGGCTGCATAGTTAACCAAAGTGACTCTGCTTTGTGTTTTGTCTGCTTAATGGGACGGGAGAGCAGGACTTCTTTCCAGCACAATTCCTTGATTTGCTTTGTAAATTAGCTCTTTGGAATCCTAAACCGAAAGCTTTTCAGAATAGCATCAGTCTTTCTTTCAGCAAACTTCCGGAGGTGTTAGGTTTTCGCCTGCCCCTTTTATTCTTGCTGTTGGTTAACTGGGATCTCTTCTGGGCTTGGTTCGGGCTGGCTGCTGAAATGGGGTGCTGGATGAAAGGCCCCTACCTAAGCATCGAAAGAATTTGTATTTCTGGTTTAAAACAAGAGTTTCAGTAATGTTTCCTGAAACTGTGCTGAGCTTAGAACAGCAAGTCATCCTTTGGCAAATTAGCAGACTCCATTACTTGCGTTAGGTGTATTTTCACCCTGCTTGGTAGGACAAAATTCAGAAGTTTCAGCAGCCTTCAACTATTCCATGTTCTAAAACGCCGATGGCATGACATTTACATAGATCACCTGGAATTGCAAATTCGTGTTAGATCAGAGTTGTGATTTTGTGAGTTAATCTTCCTTTACCAATAGCTGGATTGTTTCTTTTGTGTGGAGGTTTAATTCCCTGGGGTGCATTCTTTTCAGATTCAAGGGGTTGTACATATCAAGTAAAGGGGAATAAAAGATTATGATGATGTGTTTAAGAAACTAGAGCTGATGTTCTCTGTGCTAACTAAGGAAAAAAATTCGTTGCACTTTTGATTGTGTGTTTCTTTTTCAAGCTAAGCTTTTCCCTGGAACTTTTAATAATGATATGTTTTAAAGATTTTCTTCTCCTGTTTCTAGAGAGTTCTGAGCTACTCTCCAAATCTGGGGACTTCTTCAAGCTTTCTGGCTGAACTGTCAGCTCAGAGAGAGCTTGAAATATGCGATTGAGTTTATAAACTAGGTAATCCTCTCTGATGATACAATTGCTTCATAGAAAAGCTGTGTGCTGCAGAGTAATTGACTGAGAGGGTTCTAAATCATCACTGTCTTTGGAAAAGCACTGAATAATTGAAAGACATGTTCCTTTTAATGATTTTGAAAATTAATAGAATGCTGTCGGTAATACTGAAAATAACATATTTTTTTTTCCTTTGCTGTGAGCATTAAATATAAATACTTTTTGCTCTGATTCTTCAGAACTGGAGGCATACGCAGGTGTCATCAGTGCCTTACGTGCACAGGGAGACCTTACGAAAGAGAAGAAGGATCTTCTTGGAGAACTCTCTAAAGTGCTTAGGTAACCCTGACCTTTTTAAAACAAAAGAACCGATGACCTGTTTTCTTGTAAGGTATTTGTGTGCGTTTTCTGTCACTCGAATCACAAAGCACATCTTCATTTAGAGAAGTAATTCTCAGTCTTGTGGAGGTTTGATTCCTGTTCTGCTTTGAGTTTTCAGTCAGGAAAGCAGCTGTGCTTTTGTGGTTGGAGCTTTGCTGTTCTGGTGGTTTTGGGAGATACTGAGCATTAACATCATTACAGGTAGCTCCTCAGTGTGCACTAGCTTGGAGTTTCATCCAGGTAGGACTTCAGGGTCTTTGGGTCCATGTTACATCAAGAAAGAACGCTCTGTTCTGTGCAAATTCTGCTACTGTCTGCTTTAAATTTATTGCTCTCATTGGGAGGTTGGATTCTAGCTGTTTTGCAGGAGTACCCTATGAACAGTAATGCTCTTTTTATTCTTCAGTAGTATTTTTGAGCAAAAATACATTCATTCTCGCTGTGATAGAACAAGTTAAGTGACAGTCTCTTAAATGTAAATGCCTGTTTCCTCTTATCTCTCGAGTGGATTATTCATAAGTTTCGTTTAAGCTGGAAGTTTTAGATAAATGTTCATGTCTCCATCTGACTTAAATATATCACTTTTTTTTTTTTAATAGTATTTCAACAGAGCGACATCGTGCTGAAGTTCGGAGAGCAGTAAATGATGAACGACTCACGACTATTGCACACAAGTAAGTCGTAGGTCATTTCCTACGTGGTTTCCAAAGGTACCCTTTGGAAAAGCCATTATGCCTTAACTGAATGAGAGAACTTTGAAGATGGATGGTGTTTTGAAGAACAGTGGTTAAAACAGTGTATGGATGAAGGAATTACTGTGTCAGATTTACATCAAAGAACTAGAAACAGTTGTTTAGTGGTGTTGCATTTTGGATCTGAAGGCATTCCATTCCCTCTACGAGTACAGTATAAGAAACAGTCTTCTGTCGCGAAGAGCTTTCTGTAAGATAGACCAGAAGCAACATAGAGTGGAGAAAATAGAGAAATCCATAAGCAGGATGAACACGTTTGCTTTATTATTTTTTATTTTACCTTTGATTTTATTTAAATCTGGTTGGAAAGGTTATATTAAGAGGGACTTAACCACGTAAGGTGGCAGAGATTAGTGGAAAACTGTATCAGCACAGAGGGGGGAAAAAAAATGGTCGGAGTGAAAAACCTGCAGTAAGCTGACTGATGACATCAGTGTCCACTGTTCTCTGCTCGGTGCAGCTGCTGTGCTTGCATCAGCTGGCCTGGATCCTCCTTGCCTTTGCTTTCGCCAGCTCCACATGATTTGGAGAGGAGCAAGAGGGCACGTTGCTTATGTGGCTTTGATAGTTACTCAACAGTCTCAGTATTAAGAACTGGATTGTGTCTGTGTTTTTCTGTCTTTTTTTCTGTGTTATGACCACTGATTTTTAAGTTTGACTTCTGTAGCTTAGATGTTATGGGGAGAAAAAAAGGAAATCATGCAAATAGCAGGCCACCTGGAGTAGCAATTGTCTGACCCGAGACTCACCAAAATCAGCATGCTGTTTTAGTGCTATAGAAGCACATTTAATGTTCTAGTGGTTTAATGTTCAAGTTTAAAGAGCTAAAAATAGGCTGTTTACCAAACAAAACCCACCAAGTTTCTTATACTTCTTTAAAGAAAGGGGGGGGGGAATAAGCGTTTAATTGTTAAATCAGAATTCTTTTCTTGAATTAAGTTTCCTTTCTAAGCAGTAGTTCTGTTTTTAGAATTTTACAGAACAAGCATAAAGTTTGTCCTGAGGTGTTGAACTTCAAATGGATGAGATATTATAATCCAGGCAAGGTGCAATTGTGAAGTGCTGCATCTCTTTGTTTTTCCTGTGGTAACTCTTTGTAAGTGATGGTTGATAATACAGTAGTTGACTTAAGTAATTCTCTAACTCATTAGGAAAGCTGACTTTGCTGTCTTTGCTATATACAACATTTATAATCTTATTTTTTTTATTTTAAAAATGTATTTTTACCTCAGCTCATATAGCTCTGCTGATACTATGTGAATATATATGAAGAACGCTGAAGTGTATCAGGACTTAACAACAGAGCAGATCCTCTGCATTTTACAAACTAATTTGGGGTAGCTTTTGCTGCAACTTGCTTGCAGTAGTTTATGTGAGACGTTGTTTTTCAGAATATATTAATGCATTAGGTGAGTTGATTTGCTTAAGGACATAACAGCATTGAAAAATGATTTGCCATTTTGGTTTTGCTGATTTGACAAATGACTCATGTAAATCAGTCACAAACAGAAACACTTTATCTGTGTAAGAACAGCATTTTTTGAAAACATTCTAGCTTATGTGTAAGTACTAAGGCTAAGAGGATGAGAGCAGCAGGCTGCTTTCTGTTGATGAAGATGCACAGGATGGATTTAAATCATTTGATGTTCTGTTACCTCATTTGGGACTGCTTTCATAAGTCTGAGAAACTTTTCTGTTCAGGTAAAACAGGATTTGCATTAGAAGCCAAGGGTTTTTCCATGTAACAGTCAATTTTAGTAGTCTCCCAAAATCTATTGGATGCCTAGGTATTTTTGTCTTCCAGAAGTAGGGAGTGTACTAACTCTACCTGGAAGAGCAGCTAATCTAATGTGAGGATTTTGAACATGACATGTTCAAAACATGACATGCCTTTTTCCAAGGGCGTGTAGTGATAGGACAAGGGGCAATGGCTTTAAACTGAAAGAGGGGAGATTTAGATTAGATCTAAGGAAGAAATTTTTCACTCAGAGAGTGATGAGGCACTGGAACAGGTTGACCAGAGAAGCTGTGGCTGCCCCATCCCTGGAAGTGTTCAAGGCCAGGTTGGATGAGGCCTTGGGCAACCTGATGTAGTGGAGGGTGTCCCTGCCCGTGGCAGGGGGGTTGGAACTGGATGTTCTTTGAGGTCCCTCCCAACCCAAACCATTCTGTGATTCTATGATATCCACAGACCTCTGACCTTTTAGGAGATGTGTGAAACAAAACAGCAAAAGAAGAAGCAACTCTCAGATTTTCTGTGGGAGGATTTCTGCACCAGGTGGTAAAACTGTAAGGGCTTTCACGAAGTGAAGAAAGTTGAAGGTTATTGTTCTAGTATGTCTTTAGAAACTGCCTTTTAGACTTTCACTGTTGAAAAATAGGCACTTAAATAAGAGTACTGAGTGGTTTGGAAGCTCAGCAAAATACTGACAGAGTGCACGTTTCTGTTTAGTATGTCTGGACCAAACAGCTCTTCGGAATGGTCTATAGAAGGTCGCCGGCTGGTGCCGCTGATGCCACGGCTCGTTCCTCAGACAGCTTTTACTGTTACCGCTAACGCCGTCGCCAACGCAGCCGTTCAGCACAACGCATCCCTTCCAGTTCCTGCAGAAACTGGAAACAAAGAAGGTGAGAGAGAGCCAGGGTTCTGCTGCAGTCCGTGGGAATATAAAAATAACGTCACGGTAGAAATCGTTGTGTTAGATTCGAAGTGTTAGATTATTTTGTAAAACTGAGTCATTCTTATCGCACAGCGTTCGTAGAAATATGAAAAAAAACTTTTTTTTTGTTGTTTTAAAAGATGCCTTTGCAGTATCTGCAGCGTAAATCTGACAGCTTTGTGTTAGTGAGCACACTAGCAACTGAAATCAGAAAATCCCAGATTGCCAGGAAATGAGGAGGAAATTCACTGGTTAACTTGTCAAGTTCTGTAAACTATAAAAACTTGGACCAATGGCTTAGGATTTATGTAAAATTCTGTAAGTGACGAAAGATGTTTCAGAATGCTTTATTTTAAAAATATAAGTAGGTTTTGGGGAAAGTCAAGAAAATTTTGTTTGTTGTTTTGTTTTTTCCCCACTTCAGATTAAACTGCCAAGTTACCAAGTTGAAAGATTGCTTTCTGCTTTCCCTGTAGCTTTTAAATAGTGCTGGTACACATTCCATCTAGCTTTACTGAACAGACTCAAATTATGCTTCATGCAACTGGAGAATGTGTAATGCTTCTTGAAACAGGCTGGTTTATTCTGGTTTTGTGAGAAATACTGGATCATTGTGCTATCACTTATAAGCCACAGTTTAAAAAAAGCTGATTAGCAGAATCAGTTGTTTGTTACTGAAGGAGTATTTTAGTTTCCTCAAGTGATGTGCTGTTGAGGAGAGACACTATTTTCTGTCAGTTACCAGTGTAGACACGGTCGTTTTCAGAAAAGCAAAAAGGTCAAAATACTGAGTTAGTGCTAAAATGAAAAATAACAAATTGTAAAGTAAAACATTAGGTTAATAGAAGCCAAAAAAATCTAGAATCAGCAGCACAGATTTCTGGGGGCGGGAGGAGGGGAGGTTAGATTTCGGTGTTGTCTTTGAAGGACATTAATTCCATGGCTGTGCTTAGGTGAAACTGGGGAGTAGCCAACAGTAACAGGATTGCAGAGGCAAAGATGTGGATAATGACCCAATAAGTCTTTGGCTTCCATTTCAATTGTTAAAATAGTGATAGAATACCATGGGATTCTGCACTTCAGTTATATGGAAGGTGTCTTTTCTCCTCTTCAGTGGTGGTTTGCTATTCCTACACAAGTACCACTTCAACCCCAACATCTACCCCTGTTCCAAGTGGCAGTGTAGCAACAGTGAAGTCCCCCAGACCCGCCAGTCCAGCCTCCAGTGTAGTCGTCTTGCCAAGTGGAAGTACTGTTTACGTCAAAAGTAAGTGATACTAGCAACTGATTAACAAAAGGGAAAGAAAGGGACAGTCTTGTGGCTGAAGCATGGACTGAGTTCAGCACTCTGACCTTGGGCAAGTCATTTAATGCCTTTATGCCTTCGTTGAGTCTAAAGAATGAATTTATTGCTTCCCTTTTTCAAAGGAATTGCGTTCAGGATAAATCCACTCGCTGTAAAATGCTTCAGGGAGCAGTAATGGCAAGGACAACAAGAGTGAAAAGTATTTTGAAAATAAAATGTAGGAATTGATGTATGTCAGTGAATTTCTAATCCAGCTTGTGCAGAAGTTGTCTTTAAGATGGCTCTGCTGGTTGCTTGGGCAGTGGACTTCCTTCTGCTTAAATAATGCATAGTAGTCATTGAATTGGGTTAGAAAAGGTCCTTCCTTTCCACTTTCACAGTTGACCTCACCTTTTTTAGAATACAGCAATTTGGTAAGCATTTATTTGCTTACATTAACTATGTCTGGCTGTTTTGTGATTTATTTGGAAGCGAGTCTTAGGGAGGCTTGCATTCCTGGGCAGCTGAAACCTCCAGATGAAATCCCACCAGATACCCATCTTTACATATTTAAATTTGTAAATCCAGCACGTAACATGTAGAAACAGTCTTTTTCCTTTTCTCTCCCCTTCCTGCTTCTTTCTTTGGCTAAGAAATCAGCTGGTTCTAAAAGCAGAATATGTCCTCATACATATGCTCAGCTCATCAAAGGTAGTTTTAATTAGATAATAATTAAAAGCGTTCCCTTCTGGCCTTATTTGGTGCCAATCAAAATGCAGGTGACAAATAAAGATTAATAGTGGGGTTGACAAGTGCCTTTTTTATGCTTGCTGAGGATACCTCTAATATTTTAAAAATTATTTTCATCTTTATGCTCTATGTGCACGTTTGTATAGGCTTCTAGCTAGTCAGAAATGTCACATTGTACATAAATATGATGTTACCTGCAAACCACCATCTTTGATGGTTATATCAACCCGTGGAACCCATTACATTAAGATTTTTCATTTTTCTGACTTAATGCACTAATCACTCAGCTTTAGTTTAAAGATTTCAGGGGAAAATGTTCTTAACCTCTTCAAAATTTAATTCAGACCTCAGTTGAATTATTACATGTTAATGAGTATAAAACCAGTCTAGACACACGAGAGAGGGATGAGAGGTTCTCGTTTTTATTCCGTCCATCCCTAGATTTCATTTTTTCTCCACTTTGTGTGCTTCATTTTGTTCCTTTTTTTTTTTTTAAAGGAATCTCAGGTCTTTCAGAACGTGTCGTATCAGTCACATTAGTTTTAACAAACGTGCTGAAGAGCAAACTCAGTGGCCTGAGTTACAGTCCTGACTTTGCTGCTGATCTGTTGTGTGACCTCATCCCAGTCACAGTCTGATTGAGCCATTAACCTCTCCGTGCCTCTGCTTCCTTGCTTGTCAAGTGTGAGTTACAGTCAAACTGCATTACCTTTTGGCTCAGTGCTCATGGAAAACCTTGTGCAAATGCAGGTTCTAACGTGGAATTATAGGAATAGCATTCTCACAGAACCCCAGCAGTGAAAACAGGAGATTGAATGAGCTGTACTTCACATAAAATAATGTTCTGCTGGTTTAATCTTACTTTCTTACTTCTGTGTTGTTGTTTTTTTTTTAAATTATTTTTGTGGGTGAGGACGACAAACAGCTTTCTCGTCAGTATTTTTTGGTGACCCACCAAAATAACAGCTGTGTCCTAACATCCTAGCTGCATGTGGATTTTCGATTCGAATGGATTCTGAAATTCCTGCACGTTTTCAATGTGATCAGTGACCTCACAGTTACACGTTTACGTAGTCACTCGCAGTAATACTTAAAAGCCTGTTCATAATAGACCTCGAAGTCGTGTAACCAAATCTCTTCTTTACAGATGGAGATGACCATTAGGCTTAGTCAGCACCATAAAGTAAATTCTTGATTGGAGCTTTGAAATCCAGACTGGTAGAGCCAGACTTCATCTGTACTGCTACAGCCAGCTAAAATGATTTTTTGGAGTTCAAAGTGAGCTTGAAATAGAGCCTTTGCTTCTCTTCTCTAGTTCAGTTTCCCATCTTTGTGTGGATAGAGCTGTCAGCCTTCGGAAGTACCTGCAAATGAGCTGGTGCTTACACTAGGAGAGAATCCCATTTTCCCTAAATCGCGTGCTGTGCTACTGGGCACTGTCTTGTCCATGTTAATTCCTGCATCTTCACTTTTCAAATGCCAGAATATTCAGTTATTTTAATTAGAGATTGGCCATAATTAGATCTTGACCCTAATTAGGGGTGGACTGCCAACCAAGTTTGCTTGGGTTACCAGTAAGACTGCTTTTTACTGTGACGGCGTTTTTTGTCCGTAAGTCCCAGGCGTACAGAATAACATCTTCAGTCTTGTTCTGTATAAGGGGATTGTGTATTTTCTGCATATCTCTGTTTTTTAATTGTTTAACACTGGCTAATTTGGTAAACATAAATGCTACCCAATAGCTGTAAGAGATTTGCAAAGTAATTAAACTCTGACTTTCTGTAACATACACCAATTTATGAACCTTTTACCTACTTAGGAGAGGTTCATATGGATTTAAGATACATCGATCTTGCTGCAGAAAGAGTTATAGATTGCTCAGCTGAATATTGTGCAACAGGCTTTTCATTCTACCTGTGCAGTAGATGATTATGAGGAAGAACAAACTCCTTGGAGGCCGGACTTCTGTTGTTTTTCAGGATTGTGTTAGGTGCTGGTTTATATCTGTGGCACAAAATGCACCAAACAAGGCAGAAGCTGATAAAGTGAGGTTTGACCTTCATAGTTAATGTCATTAAAAAAAAAGGATCTCAAGATGCTGCATTGAGGTGAAAGGGAGAAAGGTGCTGTAGTGATAAGCATGGCATGAAACTAGGTGCAAAGGTTGAAATCAGAGAAGGCTACAGGAGGATAAACTTCAGTAGCCCAGTTCCTGTGAAGAAAACCAGCAACAGCAGCAGTGTGGTGTAGAGTTCCAAACTGAAATGTGCATGACGTCATCCCAGACCTCTTCTGTGTACTGTCTCATTAGTCAAACTTCTGGAGACAGAATGAAAACCCCATACTGGTTTTTGTGTTTAAACTGAACAAAGTAATCCAGTAACTGAGTAGCTTGGGTTTTTTGGGGTTTTTTTTTCTTTGCTTTGTGACACTTTAAGTGTGGTCTGTATCGAGGACTAAGACCATCCGTGGTGCGATACAGGTTAGTTGTGGCCATAAGAAATGGTTTGTCCTCTGTTCCTTTTTCTCTTATTTGGAAGTGAGTATAAAACTTGTCAAGTCTGAAGTGTTTTAGAAAGCACTGGGCGCTGCAAATGGGGAAAACTTAATTTAGAAAAAGTGCTTCTTTTCCAGGCGTCAGCTGCTCAGATGATGATGAAAAGCCCCGCAAGAGACGGCGAACAAATTCTTCCAGTTCTTCCCCTGTTCTCCTGAAAGAAGTCCCGAAGGCAGTGACTCCTGTCACCAAAACCATCACGGTGCCTGTAAGTGGCAGCCCCAAGATGAGTAATATCATGCAGAGCATTGCCAACTCCTTACCACCCCACATGTCGCCTGTGAAAATAACCTTCACTAAGCCCTCCACACAGACAACAAACACGACAACACAGAAGGTACGTGGGGGAGGCTGCCAAATGTTACTTTATTCTGGCTGCATCAATGAATACGATGTGATGTTTGACTCTTCCTTTCTGTGAACTGTCTAGCTGTGTTTTTTTTTTTAAGGATTGCGCTTGGGATCAGGTAATCCCTCTTTAAAACGAACAAAGAGAAAACCAAACTCTTGTATGAATTTAGTTCACCTGTGTGTGAAAGGACCTGGATTGACAGCCGTGGAGACTGAAGCCCTCTTTTTATCCACAGAACAGGTACAGCACAGGCAGCGGGAGTGCAAGCTTCCCCCAGACTGCCCCACCAATGTGCCTCAACCCTGACCTGAAGGGACCACTTCTAGGGATGAGAGGGGATTCAGTCTCCATGCTCATTCAATTCTTGGCCTCTCTGGTGAGACTGCCAACAAGGTTGCCAGTTAGTACCATTTGTGGTGTTGGGTTTTGTGATATGGACACTAGTCCACTGAGAACTGGATCACATAGGCCACTGAACAGCCTTCAGATGGTAACAACTGTTGGTCAAAGGTAATCTTTCTTATTTCTATTTTCCTTATTTATAATTATTCTTTGCAGTAGTACTTCCAGGAGAGGTGGCATGGGCTTTCCCTTGCCAAGCCTTTTGCATAGAGATTAGTTTTTTTGGGTCTATAAAGCTGATTCTTGGAGCTGATCAAAGACTGGGGGGCTTTATTTTCCTTTCAGTCCTAGTGTGCCATTTCTCATTCGACATTAACAGTGGTCAAAATCGTTTGCATTATTTCAGCTGAGTGTGCCCAGCTTTCACCAGAATGCAGTGTGTGGAAAAGGCCTTCCGTGTTGAAATTTTGTGTTGGACTCAGATTTTTTTTACATGCCTGGTCTGTGGCATGACTATTTTCCCATGCTTTAGGAAGCGTTTCGGATGTGTCTACTTTTTTGTTCTTAAGATTTAAAAAAAGATTAATGGCTCAGACCAAGTTCATTCGTGGTACAGTTATTAATTAAGGCAGACTTGGGTGGGAGGTGGTCTGTGGAATTAATTTGGCCTTGATACTGACAGACTTGATGGTAGGCTGGCCACTAACAAGCATTTTTTTCCGACTGTGAGTTTGGCAATTGAGCTCAGACCTTCACAGAGTAGTTGTTTTATTAGTTGTCTTAATTGTTTTATGACTCTATTTGGATGAACAGAGTTCCCATGTCCCGATTTTTAGAAACTTTAAAACCAGGGAAGATTAACTGAAGTAATGCACAATAAAGAAGTTGCTTTCTGGCCTTTTCCCGTTTCAGAGCTCTTTGATGCTTTCATTTGATTCACTGTTCTTTAACAGTGTCCTTAATCGAATTTCATCTCTGAATACGTGTATAGAAATTCATGAGCGAGCATAAAACATCAAATAAAATGTCCTGCATTCAATGCAGCAAATCCACAGCCAGGACAGAGCTTAACCTCCCCATCCTGTTGCTCTTGTTAGGCTCATCTGTTGTACAGGAAGATTTTATTTTTTTTTCCTTAAACATTTGTAGTGTTGTATTAAGTATGAGTGTTATATATCGTGGTCGAGGCATCTCCAAAAGGAAGAGAATGGACTGTTGATAGGGTCTCTTCTGCAGTTGTGCTTCTGCTTGTTCTGACATGGAAGTTTTAGGGTTTGCTTTGCTTAGTATTATCTAACTCTTACTGATCTGCAATGATAGGAAAATCATTGCTGGTTTCTTTAGGGAGCCATAGCAGCATTTGTGTCTGAACTTGTCACACTGCCCTCTTTTGTTGGAATTAGATATGCCAAAATATCTAATTTTATATCTATTTAATATCTATTTTACTGGATCATTTTGGGTGGGAGAGATCCCTTGTAGTAGATTTAAATGAAATGTCAGACTTGCTACACTCAAATTGAAAATATGCTTTTTTAAACAAGTGCTGTTGGATATGAGTGAAGTGTTGGAAACGAATGAAACTCTTCGTTTCTGCATGCCAGCTTTCTGAATTGTTTTGACATCTTAGCAGGTTGGAGGAAGATTTGTCGTAACAACTAATAATGTCACAGCTCCAATTTCTGGTTTCTCTTGTAATAAAGTCCTCTGTCTAGGGCACAGAAGGAATCTAGCTAGTGATGCTGCTGGCAGTTAAAGCCTTTATTTCTTCAGGGACTAGGTTTTGATGTCTCTCAAAATAGGGCTGACAGAGCTAATTTCACTGTATGCTAGAAATTAGTTTTTACCATAACAAAATCAACAACAACAAAAAAAGCAACTTGCCCTTTTTTTTTTAAATCAGGCAGTCTTTCCGCTGTAAAAGATGTGATGTAGTTTTAGTACCAACGATGAGGTTATTGTGATCATTTCAACATATATGAGAAAATAGTGTCTCAAAAATACAATTGTTGTGATTTGAGCTTTAATACTTTTAAATTTTTACCCAGAAATTCTATTATCTGAGTATACTTCATACATGAAGATCACTAAACTTTGTTCTGCTGTGTTAATTTTGAAAGAAGAAATAGAATAGAGAGACCCAAACCTGCTTAGTCACAGGACAGCAGTCTTTTTTTGAACTATAATGCTTTACAAGGTTAAATGAAGTGTTATTCAGAGGTAATCTTGGATTGATAGTTTTGTCTCTGTCTTTGAATGAAGAAAAACAGTGTTGAGGAGTTGTGATTATTCCCAGATTCATCCTACATATTTCAACTTACTTAGTTGAGGCTCTGAACTTGCCGTGTTGCGCCGTGGATTATACAGGAAGCTTTAATACAAATAATCTGCCTTTTTTAACTGCAAGTTGTCCTTTGATTGTGTTCCTGAATTAGTTATCCTAGGTGGCATGGAGCTGGCCCTAAAACTAAAGAACTTGGGAAGTCTTTCTAGTGTTAACTGACCATTTAAGAAACAGGATAAAACTTCAGAGGCACATCTTGAGATCTTTTCACCTGCAAACCTCGTACCAGAATCAAAACTGTGTCATGTTCAGCTTGTTTGCATGGTCATAGCCCAGGAGCAATTTCAGAAGGGTGTTGTGGTGAAATCAGGGTGAGGCAGAGAAAACGTTCTCCCTTGAGGATGCAATAAAGTGGTAGAGCAGCAGATGTGGAAACCTTGTCCTTCAGGCATGAGTCAGTTGTGGTCAACCTGCTGTAGCTTGTGGTGGTAGTAAGGTTTTGATTTTCCTCAGATCAAGGTATTATAGGCATAGCTAAGTAGTGGGGACCATAAAACTAAGCACTGGGGGGAAAGGAGAGGCAGAGGCAGCCAGGGTGGTGAAATTTACTGCTTTTATTCCATCCATGTGGTTATCTCTTTTTTTTTTTTTTTAAAAAAAAAAAAACAAACAAACCCACAAACCAACAACCAAACAAAAAAAAACACCCACAAATTAAAAACTCTTAATCTCTTACTACTTCATCTGTCACTTAAGTCTATTTCTGGTGCCATTATCACGTTACTTCTTTTCTGTCAGGCAAGATTTCAGTAGTCCTTGAGTAGTAGTGTGAGACTTTTGGTTTGAGCTGACCTATGTTTTCTTTATTCCTTCTGTACCTTTTTTTCTGTCTGCTTTTGTTACATCAAATCATTAATAATTTTTAACTTCCAAGGTTTTTAATTAATTTTTATTAGGAAAATTGCATTATTAAAACAGTTTCTCAGTGTTCTTGCATGGCAGACTGAAAATGTGCTGTATTTCTGTGCTGTATGTTTCTATTTTAACTGTGTGTTTGTAAGTACAAAGGAGGTACCTATAAGCAGAATTAAAAGGAGTTTCTTCACTTAAATGGTCCCCATATTCATTACTTAAGAAATGCTGTTTTCTAGGTCAGTTGCATAAGAACAGACCTCTTCCAATGTAATAATGAGTTCTGTGTTTTTCTATGGCAAATCAGATTCATATTGTTGTAACTTGCACTAGGGATGGTGTTTATTCTCTTTAGGCAAATGGTTTTCAAACAGATAAGGAAGAATTCCTTGTTATTGAGAGCACTAATTACAGCAGAAATTACTTTAAACCTAAACCAGATTTTTTTTAATGATGAACTATTGATTGTTTACAGCTTTGTGGATCAAAAATATTTTCCATTATTGACTCAGCAACTGCTTGTTAATTGTTAAAGAGGGGAAAAAAAAAAAATCATCTGTTCTCTCATTGCCATTTCTTGATGTATGTGCAAAGTTTGGGAAAATGGTGTTTAAAACTTGCTTGAAATCTCTTCAGTTCCATTTAAAACGGGCTTCAGGCTTCTTGGCCCAGTTTAACAAAGCCAAGCGGTTCATTCTTATCTATTTGCCTTCAGACATGAGATAGTTCTACTTTAATTAGATAGTGATTGTTTTCCTCAAACAAAAAAACAAACGACCTTCTATCTTTAGAAGAACTCTTAGATATATCTTTAGAACATTTCCTTAAATGTTTATCACTGCTTCTTCAAACTAATTGAGATTTTTTGTTGCCAGCAAATCTGAAAATGACACTCTTAAAAGGTCTTAGTAAACATGGATCCCTAAAACTAAATACACGTAGACGGATGCATTACTGAAACTTTATGCTTTTTAATTAATGCGAAGAACAAATGAATTTCTGATTGTTCTTTCTCTTCTTTCAGGTGATAATAGTAACCACCTCTCCAAGCTCAACTTTTGTACCCAACATCCTTTCCAAGTCCCACAACTATGCAGCAGTTACGAAACTTGTCCCAACGTCAGTCATTGCCTCAACTACTCAAAAGCAACCGGTGGTTATAACTGCTTCCCAGTCCTCTTTGGTCAGTAGCAGCAGCAGCAGCAGTAGCTGTTCCACTCCCTCCTGTACTGCAAATACTATTGCTGTGACTGCTGTAGTATCATCAACACCATCAGTGGTTATGTCAACGGTAGCGCAAGGTATGGCAATAAGATTATATTTATAAAAGCTCTTTCCATGATGGATTGGACTTTTGGTTGGAGACTGGCACAGGGGAGATGCACTTTATGTTTACATATGATGAGTAAAGCACAGGAGTTGTGAAAGAAATCTAGTGAGGAAACTAATCCAAGATGCTTCACAAAAGTTCTTTTTGAACTATTTCCCTCTTTAATTCAACAATTAAAGTGCAGAACCTCTTTTTAAAGAGAATGTGGTGAGACTAGGTGGCATAGCTTTTTTATTTTGAAAAGATTTTACTTGCAGCATTAAGACTGAAAAAAAAAAAGCCTCAAAATGACTGGCTTTAAGAACTCAATCTGATGCATGGAAAATGGATGTTTCCAATATTTGAGGAGGATTGCTCCTCTTAAAGCCTGATTTACAAAAACACGCAAATTTAACGTCAGATAAACACAACCTATGCTTGGCATGCCTAGTCTTTAGAATATTTCTTGTGGTAACCAGTCTTGATGACAATTCTGAAAGGTAGAGATGTGTTTACACCTTTTTATCTGTGTATTTTATCAGCATGTCAGTTTCCAAGTCCTTAAAATATCTTAAAAATGTAGACCTAAGTGGCCCTGGATTAAAATTCCTAGGTTTCTGATTCCAGCTGTGTATGCCAGCTTGACTGATTCAGCTCTGCAGCCACTGGCTAACATTTAGAAGGGAAGCTGTGGGTGAAAGAAGGGACCTCAGTGAGCAGCACTTGAAAATACTGTGCCTGACAATGACAAATTTCACTTGGCAATTCTTCCTGGTCCATACTTTCCATTCTTGTTCCAGTCCACAAAAAACTGGGCAACCAAATCAAGGCTGAGGAGGTATTTTGCCTTCCATATTCAGGTCCAGAAGATACTAACCTACAGAGCACAAGGACTTACAGCAGAATTTCATATTATTTGGACCATGGATGGATTTTTTGTTGGGTTTGATCCTGGAAAAGGCTACAATTCTAAAATATATTAGATGGAATATCTCTCTAACAGATCTTTTTTCGAGACTATCGGTGTTACTGCAGAAGATGCTGGTGAAAGGTTTTGTGACATAAGTTGGTAATCACTCCAAATGTGAAGAAAGTTAAGTTAATGAATGAAAACAGGTGACCAAGGAAATGGAGATGATGCGGTGAGAAAAGGGCTGCTTATTTAGATTGCTAGAATTGTAGCTTATTATGATTTCTGTTATTATCACTGCCCTCTGTAAACGTAGAGACATAAGAGAGGAGATTTTCTTTGTTTTCCACTGCAGCTGGGGCTTGGTTAAAAGCTGCCTTCATAAGACATGGACGTTGTGTTTGTCTTTTTTGGTGCTTATGAATGTGCAGTTTAGAATGACAGATGAAGCCAAATTTTGCTGGAAATGTTGTGACAACTGTGTGAGAGAATGACAGAAATAACTAAGATTTATTTGGGAACTTTGTCCTTCCACCCTGCTGCACACTTGTTTTAATCACTTTATTATTTGTCAGATAACCTAACCTATCAGCACAAAAAATGTTTGTTCCACAGTTTTCTAAATTACATACCATTATTTCCTTTATTCTTTTAAAGTAACATTGCAGTCACTAGCAGATACTCCTTTCTCATGTTGGTGGGTTTGATGTTTGTCATCCTCATATCCTAATTTTGTAGTCATGATTTTCACCATAAATGTTTTGCTGCTTTGAAGCTTAAAGAATCAGGCTTTGAATATATTTGTGAATTATTTGTACTACAAAAGGTGCAGGAGGGTAGGCTGGGATTATGGTCTTCCCATTAGCTGCTGTTCTACTACTACATTGAAAGTCTGTATAAAGCTCCCTTGCCTCTGAAAAGGGCACTTCTGCTGTGTGGGAGCTTTTTTTAGTCATGTATATCTACGCATTTTTCATTAGTAAAGACAGTTTAAGTGCTAAAGTGTTTAGGAAATGGCAGTACTTCTTTCGTGTTGCACTGTTCAATCTTAAACCATTTACTCTTTCACAGGTGTGTCTACATCAGCGATTAAAGTTGCCTCTACTAGACTACCTTCCCCAAAAGGTTTGGTTGGGAATCCAACTCAGATCTTAGCACAGTTTCCCAAACAACATCAGCAGTCCCCCAAACAGCAGCTGCACCAAATACAACAGGCCCAACAACAGCAGCAGCAGCAACAACAACAACAGCAGCAGCAGCAACAGCAGCAACAACAGCAGCAGCAACAGCTGGTGCAGTCTTCTGTAGCTCAACAGCAACCACCGCCGGCCCACCTGGCATCAAGCCCACCATTCAGATCAAACAGGAATCAGGTAGCTGGAGTTAATCTTGGGTCATATTGCTGATCGGTGAGGTCTAAGCACAACTCGAGAAAGTAGGGCAGAATCCTGTCCCAAAATACCCATGGGGAACTATCCTTAAGGCATAATTACCTGAGTTCAGGATTTGGCGTTAAATCTGGACATAAGTAGGTAGTGAAGGATGTCTTAATGTTTTCAGCTAACAATAATTGAAGAATTTGGTTCTGTCACTCTTCCTGCTCTGGCAGGGCGATTGGACTAGATGATCCTTTGAGGTCCCTTCCAATCCTTGACATTCTGTGATTCTTGTTTGGTTCAGGTACACAGACCATGCATTAGGAATAAATGTTTTGTCTTTAGAGATTGAAAGGTATGTAAATATCTTCAAAAGTAACGTGATTGAAAACCTGGAAGACACCCAATTTTCTGAAGATCCAAGAGCTGTTCAGCTGTGTCAACTGGAAAAAGAATTTTATCCATGTTTTAATTCTTTTCTTGGGTCCAGAAATCAAAATCTACTTTTGAGGTACATGTTAAAACAAGTACAATTAGATCTGAGACTTGAAGTTGGACTGGATTCTTTTTGTAACGTTGATTCGTTCAGTTGACTTTGGGCAAGTCATGTAATATTTCTGTTGGCTCTACTCTGCTGTGGAATACAGTTCTTCTCCCCGTAAGATGTAGTAAGAAGTGATGTTTGCAAAGTTATCCAGTTTCTAAAGGAAGAAGTGCTATAAAAGTGCAAAGTATTTTTATGTCTATATTTTCTGTTAATCGTGTCAGTGAAATTAGTATTTTATATTCATACTATTTAGATCGAAGAATTAAAATAGAGCATAGAATGAAAAAATAAACAGCCCTACTCCTGTCCTTTGATAAACTTCCTTTTGGATTACAGGCCCATTGCCTGAGAGAAAATATGCACTGATGAAGGCAGAGGCCTTCATCCTCCAGTCATGTATTTGATCCATAAGACCTTCACTCCTTACCTTCCACCATGGGTTTAGGCTCAGTGTTCTTTTTGGTTAAAGTTTCTTTGGAATCACTGATACCTGTTCTTTCTGGAAGATGTGAATCAATTTTCACAAAGACTTGCTTTTTATCCAGTTTTGTGTCTGGATGATGCAAAGGCTTCAATTTCCCTGTCCTACTTTATTTAAGTTGGGAGCTTACTTGCTCTGTGCTGCTTTTATAGTAAACATAGAAAGAAGAAAACATCTCTGGAGGATGTTTCATGTCCCAAGTGGACAAAATTGTTCACCTAGAAGTATTTGTGTACAAATATAAGTCCTTACGTGTAGATGGGATTAATTCAGGCACTTGACCAACACAGTGAAGTATGTTTACCTTGTCGTGGCACAGCATGTAAGATGCAAGTGTCCTGGATGTACTTTTGAGCAGGTGACATGACTGTCCTGGTTTGCAACTGGGAAGTGAATCTCGCAGAGGTCCCATTCCATTACACAAGTCGAGAACGAGGGAGCAGAATCCTTGCTACCCTAGGGTGTCCTCAGCCTTTGTTCTTGCTGATTATACTCAGAGCTGATTTTCAGCTGAATTCCTTTGTGACTTCAGGATAACCAAAAAATCAAGAGGAGAGAGAGCAGTGTATGTAAACCACCTTCCCTAGATAGCTTCTTGACACCCACTAATACTCTTTGTGCAGAAAGCTTTTTTTTAATTCATTGAGAGGATTGAAATTCAGCTAGTCTAATTAAGACATATCAGAATTTACAGACTAAACTGAGGAAGAACTATTTCACTTTTAGGTGGTCCATGGTATATGAACCAATTTGGTATTGGTTGTAACCTGTTAGTTCCTGGGAAACGTTTAATTTTTTGAATAACGGACCAGAAAAGGTTAAAAATCACTACAACAAACCAATGATGGAATGGAATCCCATGCCTCAGTGGGAGTGGCTGGGAATTGAAACAGGCACATGAAAGGCAAAGATGATGACTGTCTTGTTAATTTGCAAAACAAACAAAAAAAAAGGCAAAAAAAACCCCAAACAATTCAAACAAAAAAAAAAATATTTTCAGGATCAGGAATACATGGGCTCAGAATAGAAGCCTTGTGAGGCTACTTGCTCACTAGGGCTTGGTCTGAGAAAGCATTTCACAAAGTAACTTTTCGTGCCTGTATTTTAACAGTGACCTTTCTCCTTTCCTAGGTGTTAAAATAATCACTCAACAGGTGCAGCCCAGTAAAATCCTTCCCAAACCAGTTACAGCGACCTTGCCCAGCAGTAGCAATTCACCTATTATGGTGGTTAGCAGTAATGGGACTATCATGACAACTAAACTGGTCACTACTCCCACTGGTAAGTTATGGCTCTGAGAAGGGAAGGGAGGGTAAACCCAGACATGCAGGTGATCACACATGGTTTATCAGGGTGAAAAAAAGCACATTCACAACCCTCTTAATCTTTATTCTGGATTAGGATTTTTGCACTGAGTGCTCTCTTACTCCTCTTAGAACCTTTTTTGAATTGGCACACAAACACATGATCCTTCCTTCCCCACTGGGTTTATTCTTGCAGTTTATACTGATACTTTGCACTTCTGTAGCACCTTATGTTAGATGATTTACATTAATTTAACTCTTTAGGGACCTCAAGCATGTTGGTCATATTCCTATTTGATATCTATGGACTTTAAAAGACAGATGACTTGCTCATAGTCTTGCAGTGAATTTATAAAAAATTTATAAAAATTCCATAAAAAGGAATTTTAAACTCCCAGTGTTTTTCTGGGGGATCTAATTGTATTTGGTTTTTTTCTTGTCGATTAAAGATCAGAAGCAGGGCAGACTGTTCAGATTGTAAACTTGGATGAGGAAAACTTGAAACTTGAAAAGCAGCTTTATCCTGTTTTTCAGAAAACTCTAATGAACTTACTTCCTAAACTTTTAACACAGATTGGGAATATTAGCATAAAATAATGGTTAATATTTTTTTTTAACTTTTTAATTACTTCACAAAAACATTCACAAGTACACAAAAAAAAATTTAGCAGTTTTGCAGTTAGTTTAGTGCTCTCTTGGATTTGAACACATGGCTTTCTCATTACAACAAACTGGTTTGCTCTGTAATCTTTAGTAATTAAGGTCTGTAGTGCCCTATCTGCAGCAGTACAAGCGGAACGGGATATTATTATTTTTTGAGCAAGTTTCTTTTGTTCTGTTTCCGTTCTGAGAAGGAGTAGGTCTGAAAAAAAACTACATTTATACCATGTCAGGAGGTTTCTTTTGTACTGCTAAATGCTAAAAATCCATAAAATTGCATTATCATTGTAAGTAATATTTTTCTCTTGGTGTGATATTTAGACCAGTCATTGGTGCTGGTCTTTTTAAACAATTTGTCATGTAGGAAAAGTGAGATTATCGATGCCTTTCAAGAGAGGAAGGGATCAGTTCTGGTAGTGTCATCAGGTGCCTGACTCTTGGGCATCTAAGGGAGCAAGTGGCAAACATACAGGCAGAATCTAAACACCTATTGGAAATTAAAATCTTAGGCACAAGGACGTGAATTAAAATACAGCAGTCATGGAACGTTTGGAAAAATACTTCAGAAGAGTCTTTCGTTAATTTAAAGTTGGTATATACTGGAATGTTGCTCTGTGGGTTTAAAAAGTACTAGGAGAATGTAAAGGGTGGTGTCATAAATTGCAGCGTGGGGTCTCTCTGAATAAAGTCTAATGCTTTTTTGCTAAACTAACTTATTTTTTCACAGATGCTGGTAGAGCATCATGTTCTAACAGTGAACTTTCTTGTTCTCTCTTTGAAACAGGAACTCAAGCAACATATACCCGGCCAACGGTTAGCCCCTCTATAGGGGCTCGGATGGCTGGAACTCCAGGGGCTGCTACCTACGTGAAAACTACCAGTGGGAGCATCATCACCGTAGTACCAAAATCACTGGCTACACTGGGAGGGAAGATTATCAGCAGTAATATTGTTTCTGGTAGGCATATGAATACTTTGATATCAAGGCTTCTTTCAAAAGTGACTTTAGACTTGCTCTGGTTGTTCAAGGCTTTTCTGTGGGTTACATGCTGTAATAATTATTAGGACCTTTATTGGAGAAGAAGTTAATTCAGAAGAAAAATAGCTGAGGATGAAGAAAATAACGGGCAGAAGTTACAGAAGTGTTCTTAAGGATTGCAGTAGTTCTTGTGTTTAAGAAGGAAACATCTAATATGAGGGAAGCCTGCGAGGAAGAGAGAAATGTGGGGGAGGAGAATTACTGTATTGTCCTCTGTTAGAGGGCAGAAAGATCAGAAAACTGTATCATCCCCAGTTTAAAGCATTTTATAATCTGAATGCTGCCCTTTTCTATTCCACTGCATGTCCAAAGAGCCAGAATAAAAATGAACTGTGTGTGTTAAATTCAGCTGTGCGGTCACCACCCTGTCTTGCTCTCCTTTTATCAGTGTCAGCCTGTCTTTCCCGTACCCGGTGTTCTAACTTAAGTTTTTCCTCCCAGCCTCATGCAGACCCTGCTGCTTGTCTTCCTCAGTCTGCTGACCAACCCTGATGCTCTCTACCAGTATAGCTTCTAAACGTAGGGTCTCTTCAGGACCACACTCCCACCAGTCACAACTTCTTGGCATCTGTGTTGGACTTTTAACAGTGCTGATGCAGAGGTCTGCTGCGTTTCCTAACTAGGTGCATATGTACAGCAAGACCTGCTGGGTCTGTTCATCCCGTCTAGTAGTATCTTCATATTACTCAGAGGTCCTGTTGTTGGTGCTTAGCAAAGACCTTAGCACCAGCCAGCTCCTGTCACTGGAAGGTGCTGCACGAACTATCCAGTAAACCCACTCTGGGGTGTAGTCTGGTAGAGGTATCTCAGTTTTTCAGATCCTGATTTCTACACAATGGTATTTAGGGATGATAGGGTAGCTGCTTTGGGAACAGGTAACTTTTTTTTAACCTGTTGTGGGTATGATGAGTTGCTAAGATTTCTATATCTACTAGTGAGTTTGTACACAAATGCAAGTGGTATTCTCTTGAGCACTGGCTATTACAGGGAAACCCTTGGCTGGTCTTGATAAGGATGATAACAGTTGTCCTGAAACAACAAGTTTGGAAAGGGTGTTTGCTGTTGTTGTTGTTGTTTCACAGTGGGGTTTTTTTTGGTTGTTTTTTTCGGGGGGGGATTGTTTTTTTGTGGTTTCATAGAATCACAGAATGGTTTGGGTTGGAAGGGACCTCAAAGATCATTCACTTCCAACCCCCCTGCCATGGGCAGGGACACCCTCCACTACACCAGGTTGCTCAAAGCCTTATTCAACCTGGCCTTGAACACTTCCAGGGATGGGGCAGCTACAACTTCTCTGGGCAACCTGTGCCAGTGCCTCACCACCCTCAGAGGGAAGAATTTCTTAGATCCTATCGAAATCTCCCGTTTCAGTTTAAAGCCATTGCCCCTTGTCCTGTCACTGCACACCCTTGTCAAAAGTCCCTCTCCAGCTGTCCTGTAGGCCCCCTTTAAGTACTGGAAGGCTGCAATAAGATCACCCTGGAGCCTTCTCTTCTCCAGGCTGAACAGCCCCAACTCTCTCAGCCTGTCTCATCCACCAGCACTCCCAACTCCTTTTCCTCAGGGCTGCTCTCAATCCATTCTCCGCCCAGCCTGTACTTGTGCTTGGGATTGCTCCTACCCACGTGCAGGACCTTGCACTTGGCCTTGTTGAACTTCATTAGTTTGGTTGGTTAGTTTCTTTTTTGCCAAGGAAGCAGTCTTCACATGCCTTTGAAGTCACTAGAATTAAGTAAACCATGATCTTGTCTCAGCATGTCATCCCTTTCCCAGAATTAATGGAATTATTAATCTGAAGTGTGTAGTGAAGTATCTACAGCCATGACTGATGGATGGAAGGTGGCTAGAGGAATCCTTGGCACCTCTGCTGTGACTGAGTGGTACTTTTCTCAAGGAGAAAGTGGAAGATATTGACTAAAAGCTGTCTGAGTAGTTATTGAAATGGTGGTCTGATGACTTTCATGTTGGTGTGTGTACTCTTGTAGATTGTGGAGGTCTCACCAGAATTACCTGTCACTGCAGGTAATTCAAATCCTGATACAGGGAATGGAACTAATTCAGTACTGGAAGAGGAGCAGAAATATCCAACACAGCTCTTCAAAAAAAGAAAAAGAAAAACACCACCATATTTTTAAACTCAACTTTTAAGAACTGATTGTAAAACAATAGCATATTTTTCTTTTTTCCTTTTTATCATTCCACTGCTTGTTGCTTGCAATACAACAGTCCAGTGCCAGAAGGAGCTGGTGTTTCTCTTGACCGGAGATGATTTCGTGGTACATAGATTCTTTTACTGAGATTATCTGTAGAAGAATATTTGTCTGTGCGAATAGGACCCTGAGTTGAGTGTTAGTGGTGTCCTTATCTCCCCTAATTCCAGCCTTTGAAAAGCCAGACGTGTTACCTGGAGAAAGCTGTGTTAGTCTGCTCTGTAATTTGTAAGGAGGGGCTGACTCTCGTAGTATAAAATAAATTACTCTGTCCTGGGCAGGCCTGTTTTTACTGTAGGAAAAAAAATTTGTAGAGTGGGCATCTAATCTTTATACGTAGAGTTGAGTGACATCAATTCCCATTCCAGATGCTACCCTTTTTTTTATTTGTTTTTTGTGCTGTCAGATTTAAATACAACCATTCCTATATAGCTCACCAGCTTCTACAGTAGAAGGAAATGTACCTGTGATAAACTGCATGTTATTTCTTTTCCCACAAAAATTTAGGAACTACAACCAAAATCACTACAATTCCAATGACATCCAAACCCAACGTGATTGTTGTGCAAAAGACTACTGGAAAAGGAACTACAATTCAAGGGCTTCCAGGCAAAAATGTTGTCACAACGCTGTTGAATGCTGGGGTAAGGATGAGTTTCGAGTCTCAAACCAGTAGCTAAGTGACAGGCTGTGTGGTGGCTGCTGCATTCATTCTGCTCAAGTCCCTCTTGAAAGCAAACTGCATGAGCTCCTTAACAGACACAGCACGCTTTAATGTCAGGGATGTTTGAAAAGCAAGTATGTTTTGCAGGATATTAAAGATGCTTAAACAAGCTGGAAATGTTCTCAGAGTTAAAGGAAAACAACAACTTTAGAGCTTGCCCTTTTTCTGCAGTTCATGGGTTTGTAATCCTGAAGGTATTAAGTAGAAGAAAACGACTAGAATCTTACTGTGTTTGTGCTCTAGTGAGAACCACAATCCTGTGTTATAAACTTGCATCTCCAGCTGTTGATCCTTTCAATAAAAAAGCAGAAATAAACGGACACTTCACAGTAAGAGTACCACCTTTTCAACTTATGTGGTGTGTAACACTGCAATATCCTGTGCCTGAGTGTTGTATAGTGTTGAATTATTTTTTTTTAGGTGACCTGATGTGTACTAAAAGCAAAATCAAGTTTCAAACTTCAAGTGGGTTTGCCTCTAAGTGCTAGTAAATAAAAATTATGAATGTGCTTTTTGTTCCTAGATAGAACTGGGAGATTTAATGCATTCATCGTGTAATCTTTAAAAGTCTACTTGAGTAGCAGAGCTGAGTAGGGAGGGGTTTTTTAAACCATTCAGGAACTTTTTAGAGATTTTGAACTTCCCTAGTTTTGTACATAGCTGTATTTTCACCCTATTGGAAGTCTCGTGATGTTACACAGTAGGAACCACCAGAATGTGATGATATTTCTGAAACTAGTATGGTTCTTGAGATTTCCAGCTAGTTGGTAGGAATACTGGGAGAACTGGCAACTAATGTTGTTCCTCATCTGATTTGTTACTGTGCAGAGCTAAAAGAAAGCATGCTCAATGTCTTTGCTCTTCTTAAGCTCTCAGGACTCTAGTCATATGTCAGCACTATTCCGACATCAAATGTTTCCTGTGAATCTGCATTTTTTTAAATAAGTGAACTTTTAGTTTAGCAAAAAAAAAGTCCATACATAACTAATGTCTTGATCATGAGGATGATACAAAGACCTATATTTAAATAATTTCTTGTTAGAATCTCTATTCAAGTTTTGTAGGTGTCGTGTTAATAGAAGTAAGAGGTTTTTAAAAAACATTTGTGAAGGATTTGAGGGGAATTTCCAACTTCTATGAATTCTTTGAGGCAACTTGAAACAAACTTAGCAGTGTCTTTTAGTTACTCTTTTGTATTCACCCCTTCAGAGTAGCTCAAAAGATAATGGAAAAGGGGGTTTTGGTAGCTTTTCCATTCAAAGCCATAGGGTTTTTCGTTCTTGGTCTTTGAAGGTTTGGGGTTTTGTATCAAATGAGTGTAGTTGCAGCAGCAGCAGGTTGATTTCATGGTACACACACTCGCCTGTAACTGTAATTTTTTAGAGAAGTGGGTCTTTCTGAAGAATTTCACTAAGTTAACCTCTGAACTTTGACTTCTCTACAGGGGGAGAAAACTATTCAGGCAGTGCCAGCAGGAGCAAAACCTGCTATCATCACTGCCACAAGACCCATCACAAAAATGATTGTTACACAGCCAAAAGGAATAGGGTCCACGGTCCAGCCAGCCACCAAAATCATCCCAACTAAAATTGTTTATGGTCAGCAAGGGAAAACGCAGGTACAGTGAGGACCCATTTCTGTCTTGAAATGTACCCCTAAATTTGAATGGGAAGTAAATAATTTTTCACTGTATTACTACATTTGTTGCAGGGTTAATGTATGTCTATGGGGATTGAGACTCAGGGGTGTGACGAGGTGGCCTTGATTCTAATTTCTCGAGCACAGTGTTTGCATTTGTTAGCTGTTTCTGGAGGCCTAGAGCAAGCCAAAAGGATTTCCTAAGCCTTTTTACGTGCCAAAAGGATTTACTAGGCCCTCTTACATAGCTGAAACTGTCTGGTCATGGCTATAGATGCCTGTTAAAGTCTTCCAGCTAATGGCTAGATCATGAGAAACAAAAGATGCATAGTTTGGACATAGGTCATCTATCAAATCTGAGGTTTTATTGAAGTTATTTTTTGGTTAATGTATGTCCAGGTTGTCCTTGCAACCTTGTGTAGTTGGTGGGGCTGTTTACAGAGAATCTGGCTTATTTCTGGATGCTTTCAGTTTCAGCTTTTCCTCTGGTTGCACTTAGTATTTAAAAGAACTAAACTTTTATCAGGTATAATATTTTGCTTGTCTTGATTGTTCAAGACTGTATTATGGGCTGCGGGAGAGGGGTGCTTGTCCTTATCAGTGCAGTGCATGTTCCAGCTCACTGTGTAGCTTTCTCTTGTCACACCGTAGTTGTATCCAGCCCTGAAAAAGGACTGTTTAGTCGTTTATTGTGTTAAGTACTCCAAATTACTGAGTGACAAGTCCATTCTTGTGCATTGCCATTTACTTGGGCTTTGTGGTTTAATAATCAGAGCTGCTGAATTTACAGGTAGACTTTTTCAGTAAATTACAAATATTATGTAGGTCTCGTACGTTGATCTGTTTGAGTGGCACCCTCTACTCTGATTGCTCAGATCTGTTTTCTTGAGCGCTCTTACCGTACACAAAATTTATCTTCCTGATTAGGTTCTCATAAAACCAAAGCCAGTGACGTTTCAAGCAACAGTTGTGAGTGAACAAACTAGGCAGTTGGTGACTGAAACGTTACAGCAGGCGTCAAGGGTAGCAGAGACAGGAAACTCGTCTCTCCCAGAAGTGAAAGAAGAACCACAAACCTACACTGACAGCAGCTCTTCTTCTACAGAGTCCTCCCAGAGCTCCCAAGGTGCGTATTGGTGTCCCATAAAATATGGACTGTCTCCCAAGCGTGCTAGCTAGCTTCATGTAACTCAGCGTGTCTCCTTTTAGCACAGGTTTTTACCCAGTCTGTTTGCAGTGAGTGTCACTGCTCACTTCTCTTATGGCTTTATTTACCTTTTATGAGCTATTTACTAAATGCCTTCCATTTCCTACGTGAAAAGCAGAGATAATGGTTTCTTTCTGGGCTCTGACTTGCTGTTCCAATTCTTGTGGCCTGCAGCGTGTTCCCTGTTTTGGGGGAGTCTGCTGGAGGTAGGCAGTGTAGTAGGTTTGGGTTTTTGAGTGTATTGAAGCATCTCTCCGCTGCGTGACTGAAAGCTGTCGTGTGACCAACATAAATTTGGGTTCTTTTATGGGCACATACATGTGCATCAGGACATATCAGGCATTCAGTGCTGATGAGGATGCTGTGGCTTCAGGCCATGGTATGGATGCAGCTGCTCTTATGTGGTAGAGAAGGGTAAACAATAGGGCTTAAAAAAACCCACAGCCTTCAGTCAGGAGTGACCATAGCGTGTATCACTGCATTAAATAAAAGCAGATGTCTTTCGGTGAAACATGTATTTATTTATAAGCCTTTAGTCACATTTTCAATATTATTCTGTAACTGTTCATCTGTATTTCATTTTCAGTAAATTTTACAAAGTTTTAAAGAGTCAACAAACTTAAAATTTAGGAGCTGTTAATTCAGGGTGCTGAATCACATGTTGATCACCTGAACTGCTAAAACCTTCTGAAAAAGAGCTCAGTCCAAGGCAAATTCAGCATACAAAGAAACCTATGATTGTTCAAACGAAAGCTTGTAGGATCTTTTTTGGCTGGAAACTGTTGGTAACATGAGCAGTGTTTTACTTCAACAGTCAATTGTAATAAAAACTAAAGTGTTGCAGAACAAGAGAGTGCGTCCTTGGCAGTGTTCAAAACACTAACGGATAACGAGTAGCTTGGTCTGTTTTTGAGCTATTGTCCTGCTTTAAAGCAAGAGGTTGGACAAGAGCCCTCCAACCCCAAATGGTTCTGTGATGACCTGATGTGCCTTTGTTCTTTTGCAAACAGATTCTCAGCCCGTAGTCCATGTGATTGCTTCGAGAAGTCAAGATTGGTCAGAACATGAAATTGCTGTGGATACAAGCCCTACGATAATCTACCAGGATGTATCCAGTGAATCTCAGTCAGCTACTTCCACGATAAAAGCTTTGCTGGAACTTCAGCAGACAACAGGTGTGAAAACGCACGCGATTGTTTAGGAGAATTTCAAAGCTTTTAGTACTTGCTTAAGCAGCAGTTTGAAACTATCCTGAATCAACTTGATTCCTTTCTTCTTATCCTGTAACAGTTTGTTTGAATGTATTATATAATATTCACTATGTATGTAATTAAACTTTTGCATTTGTATTGGACGTTTATTTTATTTTGGAGGTTTATTTTAGGTTTTTCCTTTCTTCTAAAGCAGTGAAGGAAAAGTTAGAATCGAAGCCAAGGCAGCCTACGATTGACTTGAGCCAGATGGCTGTCCCAATCCAGATGACCCAAGAAAAGAGGCATTCCCCAGAAAGTCCTTCAATTGCTGTAGTAGAGTCGGAATTAGTTGCTGAATATATCACAACTGGTAAGTGACTAAGGTAGTGTGATGGTGGGTTTTTCGTAGAGGAAATGAGTCTTTTCTTCTACTCTCGAGACCCTGTGCAAGGGACAGAGATTGCATCTGGTTTTCTGGGGCATAGTGGAGAATGTTTCTAACTCAAACTAAGGGTTGTTGCTTCGAGACGTCCTAGTTGAACAGATTTTATGTTTCCTGATCTGATGGAGAGGACAGGCTGTCCCATTTGTCTTTAAGGAAAATGTCTAGTAAGGAAAAAGTAGAAAATGAAGTTACAGGAACTGAACACTGTTTTTTGTACATACTGAGAGGAGTCAGACTTCGAGTTAGTTTAACCTATATTTGCAAAACGTTACTTGCTTACCAGCAGCACTAAGTGGGGTTTTGAGCCAGGTGTGCATTTAGCATGCTAATATAGTCCCCAGTTTCTTCATTTTCTAGAAGGCTTTGAGCTGATAAATTTGCACTTTTTAAACAAATAAATAATTCAAATTGACATTAATGTTGAGATTCAGCTCTTAACTTTTTTAAACTCTTGACTCCTCCTATCTGATTGTCCGTTTTGTGTAAGTCCTTGCCTCCCTTGTCTCTCTGATGCTCCCTGCTACCCCAGAATACTCGGTGTGAGCCCCTTCCCCTACATACATGAGAGGATCAAATTACCTGTTTTCCATTTTA